ACACAATACCATCACATTATATCTGACCGGCATACAGCATCACATGCTAACTCAGTGGCCGACAACCCTAGTTTCTTATAGTCATACCAGATTAAAACCATCCTGAAAGGTATCCAAAAAAAGTTTGCCTATGCACAATCAATTATTGCAATTCCTATCAGACCTATTGGACTCTGCCAACTTCGAACCTCAAACTAACCAAGTCATGAAGACAGCCATTTATCTGGCGTTTTATTGTTTTCTTAGAATACGAGAGTTCACTACCACAACCTCAACTAACACCCAGTATTGTCTTAGATGGTCACATATCAATAAGCATTAAGACCACTACATACTTTCCATACCCAGTAAGAGAATTTGATACCTACCTACTCTCCACATTTAATAACCCATCATAACCCCTACTATCATTACACGGGTTAGTTCTTGCAACAGCAAAATTCACGCTAAATGTCAGGAGATATTAATCATGAGGCTAGGTCTTAACCCTACTAATTATTCTGATCACTTTTTTACAATAGGAGCGGAATCCACTGCATAGAGCAGAAACATACACGTCCATATTATTAAAACATTAGGACACTGGAAGTCCTCTGCCTATTTGCGGTACATTCCGCAACTGGTACAAGAACTACATCAAGCCTTTATCAATATGACATTCTAAATAAGTCTGTAATGATTGTAATAAATATCTATACGTATGTCCTTTTTGCCCTCTTTATTTACAGACTTACCGCACGTTGGTTCCGGTACACCGAATTTCATATATTTTGTGTTATGTTAACACTACTTTACTCTCTGTTACTCATTACGGCCTTTGTGCCCCTAACACAAAGGACTTTCTGTGTATATATATACACATACACACACACGTCCCAAATTTACCTTGAAAGACTCCTGAGTGCTCTCTACTGGTATCGTGTGTATATATATATATATATATATATATATATATATATATATTTCCTGACCATTATTCATGGTAGCATTTACTCATGGGTTAGCTCCTCCCCTTACAGCAGAAAGGACAGGAAATAGAACTTTGAAACTGGTATAAATAGATCCTCCCCCTTCCCATCAAGCAGTCTTTTTTCCTGTCCTTCACAGCAGTTTGAAAGGAGTCTGCTTAAGCAGGCCTAGATTTTTTTTTTCCTGCTCACCAGGCAATATTTTTTAGGCCATGCCAGGGTTCAGCCTCTAAGCCCTGAAGACCCAGCAAAACGCACTAAGATGAAGTGGCTAGCCTGGGTACCCCCTTTAGTGACCGGGGGTCGGACCCAACCTCTCCCTGAAAGGGATGAAAATGGTCCACTGCATGCCAGGGTTCAGCCTCTTATCCCTGAAGACCCAGCAACAGGCCAGCTTGGGTACCCCCTCAGGGGATGTATGTGATATACTGCCTACTTCAGCAACCAGGGGTCTGTCCTATCTCTCTCGGAAGTGATGACAGCAGTCCACTGCATACATGAGGCCCAGTTGAGTCTAAGCCCTTATCCCTGAAGACCCAGCAAACAGCACATGTGTAAGAGTTGCCAGTCTGGGTACCTCCTTCAGCAATCAGGAGTCTAACCTATCTCTCTCCCTGAGGGGATGACAGCGGTACATTGCATACATGAGGCCCAACAGAGTTGTGACTACTGGAGTATACCTATTCTATGTATTCTACCTTGTATGGTGATGATGAATGGCAAATGGGGTACAGATGGAAGCCTATAGTTTAAACAGTTTAGGCTGTCAGTTGTTCAAATCCTCATTTTGCCGCTGAAACACAGGCCTGCAACGGTTCAGGTAAGTGCATTAGTAATTTAGATTAAAACTAGTATAGGCACCTGGGTCTCTGTTCTTTCAGTCCCTCCCAGCTGCTTACATTAGGCTTCCTTCTAGAAAATAGGTCACATTTAGGAGATTTGTGTGGTGAGCATTTAGGTAAGTTTATAAGGATGTTTGGTGCAAAAGAGTGCTGATAATACCAGTATGCATTGGGCATAGTAGTGCTGATAATGCAAAAAGAGTGCTGATAATGCAAGGAGGCATTGTGCAAAGGAGTGCTGATAATGCAATGAGACACTGTGAAAAAGAGTGCTAATAATGGATATCCTGGCTGTATAAAGTCTGCTGGAATTCCACAGCCTGAAGACAGAGAAATATCCAAGGTAAGAGAACCTTCTTGGGTGTCTGATTAAGGTACACACATGTATATGACAGGTTTTAAAAACCTAAAGTCCACACACACACTTGTTTCTATCAAGGTATTGTCAGGATACTGACAGGGATCCAATACGCAGAGTGCGGACAGAAGGAGGTACGTATACCGGACCTTAGAATGGCCGGACTAACGTATGGACAAAACAAGAATAGTCAAAAGGTAAGCCGAGGTCGAGGGAGCCGGAGGACAGGTAAGCGAGGTACAAGCCGAGTCAAAGGAGAGGAGAGGACAACAGGACAAAAGACAAGCAAGGTCAAAACCGAAAACACAAGAGAGAGAGAACGCGCTGAGTGACTAGCAAGCTAGAACCACGACAGGGCAATGAGCAGTAGTAAAGGTTTCCTTTAAATACCCTGTCACCTTAATTGAGACCACGCCCCCAAAAGGTCTGGAATAGCGGTTCCCGGCACTTCACGTAATGCTGACGTCATGACGTCGACGCTAGCCGTCGCGTCATAAAAGGGGGAGGAGCTAGCGCGGCCGGCGCGAAAACGGCCGGAAATTGCCGAAATGCTAGGGGCAAGGAGCCCCTAAACAGAGAGGATGTCTTCCCTGGAGTCAGCACCAACAGGTACCCTGACAGGTATGTGGCATTGATTGCTGTTATCTGTGCATTATCACAAATAAGCAGGCTTTGCAGACAGTCGAAGAATATACTGCACAGGAGACCACTGGGCCTCAGTATCTGTACATGATCTGGTGGTGGTACAGCATTGGTATGTTTCCACTAAATGCTCTAATGTATGAATTGGTATGAAGTCTCAGTGTGTGTCCAGTATATGCTCTAGGTATGAGTTACTACAGGGAGTGCAGAATTATTAGGCAAATGAGTATTTTGACCACATCATCCTCTTTATGCATGTTGTCTTACTCCAAGCTGTATAGGCTGGAAGCCTACTACCAATTAAGCATATTAGGTGATGTGCATCTCTGTAATGAGAAGGGGTGTGGTCTAATGACATCAACACCCTATATCAGGTGTGCATAATTATTAGGCAACTTCCTTTCCTTTGGCAAAATGGGTCAAAAGAAGGACTTGACAGGCTCAGAAAAGTCAAAAATAGTGAGATATCTTGCAGAGGGATGCAGCACTCTTAAAATTGCAAAGCTTCTGAAGCGTGATCATCGAACAATCAAGCGTTTCATTCAAAATAGTCAACAGGGTCGCAAGAAGCGTGTGGAAAAACCAAGGCGCAAAATAACTGCCCATGAACTGAGAAAAGTCAAGCGTGCAGCTGCCACGATGCCACTTGCCACCAGTTTGGCCATATTTCAGAGCTGCAACATCACTGGAGTGCCCAAAAGCACAAGGTGTGCAATACTTAGAGACATGGCCAAGGTAAGAAAGGCTGAAAGACGACCACCACTGAACAAGACACACAAGCTGAAACGTCAAGACTGGGCCAAGAAATATCTCAAGACTGATTTTTCTAAGGTTTTATGGACTGATGAAATGAGAGTGAGTCTTGATGGGCCAGATGGATGGGCCCGTGGCTGGATTGGTAAGGGCAGAGAGCTCCAGTCCGACTCAGACGCCAGCAAGGTGGAGGTGGAGTACTGGTTTGGGCTGGTATCATCAAAGATGAGCTTGTGGGGCCTTTTAGGGTTGAGGATGGAGTCAAGCTCAACTCCCAGTCCTACTGCCAGTTCCTGGAAGACACCTTCTTCAAGCAGTGGTACAGGAAGAAGTCTGCATCCTTCAAGAAAAACATGATTTTCATGCAGGACAATGCTCCATCACACGCGTCCAAGTACTCCACAGCGTGGCTGGCAAGAAAGGGTATAAAGAAGAAAATCTAATGACATGGCCTCCTTGTTCACCTGATCTGAACCCCATTGAGAACCTGTGGTCCATCATCAAATGTGAGATTTACAAGGAGGGAAAACAGTACACCTCTCTGAACAGTGTCTGGGAGGCTGTGGTTGCTGCTGCGCGCAATGTTGATGGTGAACAGATCAAAACACTGACAGAATCCATGGATGGCAGGCTTTTGAGTGTCCTTGCAAAGAAAGGTGGCTATATTGGTCACTGATTTGTTTTTGTTTTTTTTTGAATGTCAGAAATGTATATTTGTGAAAGTTGAGATGTTATATTGGTTTCACTGGTAATAATAAATAATTGAAATGGGTATATATTTGTTTTTTGTTAAGTTGCCTAATAATTATGCACAGTAATAGTCACCTGCACACACAGATATCCCCTAACATAGCTAAAACTAAAAACAAACTAAAAACTACTTCCAAAAATATTCAGCTTTGATATTAATGAGTTTTTTGGGTTCATTGAGAACATGGTTGTTGTTCAATAATAAAATTAATCCTCAAAAATACAACTTGCCTAATAATTCTGCACTCCCTGTATGAGGACACGGCCTCAGTATATGTATCCACTATATACTCTATGTATGAGTTACTATGAGGACACAGCCTCAGTATGTATGTATATATATGTAAAGGCTTGGCCTGCAGTTATGGGAGGGGCATGTTACCCTACTTAACCCCCACTCACCTTCCTCCGTCCCGTACGTTTTTTAGCGACTCGCATGTCGCTATTTCCGGTCGCACTCGGTTTCCCTTGTGGTTTCTCCTTACCTGGCCTGCCGTTTTCCCCCCCTGGTTCGCATGGTTTCCGTGTTTTCGTGGATGTCAGGCGTGCGGCTGTTTTCCCGAACTGCCCGCCGTTTCGCTGGCTTGGTGATTTTCTGCACGGATGTACTTTGGGACTCCTGTGACTTTCCCCGGGTGATATGCCCTCTCCCTCAAATATTATTAAGCAGTTGTTATATACAAAGTGCTCAAACGCTCCTTTATAATTATTAAGCCCTGAACAGGTGCTTCTTAAAGGAGCACTAAGTGCATATTTTGTACGCTATATAGTTTTACAGTGCTGTTTAGGTTCCCAGCACTCCACCTCCACATGCCTGTCTAGTACATGAATATGGCAGCTGCTGATTGCTGGACACTGAGTTGGGGATAATGTTGCATTTAGGACTGGCAAGCTCCCTTTTGATACAGGTCTCAGGAGCCTGTGTGTTTGGTGTTTACACAGCGTGTGGTGTGTCGTTATTCAGAGGGTAAGTGGTTGGCAGGACACCATTCCATTCTCTGAATGCTTTCAGCTGGTTACTTTGGCTCACATGCTAGCTTTGTGGCTATTTAATCTGGGGAGTCCTGTGTCACTGGGCAGAAAGATGTGCTGGTTCGTGTTCATTTCAAACCACAACCCATGCAGGCAGTCTGTGCTAAATAAATTTTTCTGTTCTGTCACAGGTGCAGTGTTTCAGGCTTTTCCTATGGCTATTTTTCAGGTTTTTGTGCTTATTAAGGTGTAGTTACCACGGTTGTGATTTTCTCCTCTTTTCCTCTCTTCCTATCCGGTTTACAACTCCACTGTTGTACAGGTTTACCATTCATACACAGTTTTCATATCTTCATACCATACTCAAGGCGTTTCAGGTACGGGAAATTTCAAATTTACAGATTTCACATTAACATCCAAGTATCTCAACGACTATCAGACCTATTAAAGGCCTGACACTACGAACCGGGCATCTACTTTCAATGTAGGGCAATAACTGCTTGATCCAAGGAAATCTGATTGCCATTATGGGGTCAAGAAGGAATTTTTTTTCCCAGCTTGTTGCAAATTGGCAGCGCTTCAAACTGGGTTTTTCGCCTTCTTTTGGATCAACCGTTTGTACTTAGTGGGAACTAGTCACTTAAACTATGTAATCTAGTTGTTGAGCCGCTATACCTGCTTCCACAGTTTCTTGGGTATCACATACTTTCCCACAGCCACCACGTCCTTATTGTAGCATTATCTCAGGAAGTCTCACCTATTCATGCAGTCTATTGTTAACCTTTCTCTACCCCTACACTTAGTCTACCCTAGAGGGCCAACATTTTTACCATACCTTACTTCCCCTTGCATAACGAAGAGTGCCGGTTAAGCGCTGGGCAACTAGTTACTCGCTCGGCATTTACCATACAGCTAGGCAATTAGGTTTTGTTGATTGTTTTTCATTTCTGACAGGTATCCAATTTTTGCCCTCTTTTATTACAGGCCTACCACGACGTCGGTTACGGCACACCTCAACCGACTCATTTTCCTTTTAATTCCTATACGGCCTTATTTGCCCCTCACACAAATATATATATATATGTATTTATGTGTGTATGTGTATATATATATATATGCTCTATGTAGGAGTTACTATGAGGACTCGGCCTCAGTATATGTTCCCACTATATGCTCTTGGTGTAAATTACTATGAGGACACGGCCTCAGTATATATATATATATATATATATATATATATATATCCACTATATGGTCTATGTAAGAGTTACTGTGAAGACAGAGCCTCAGTATATATATATCCACTATATGCTCTATGTATGAGTTACTGTGAGGACACAGCCTCCGTATATGTACCCACCATATGCTGTATGTATGAGTTACAATGAGGACTCTGCCTCAGTATATGTATCCACTATATGCTCTGTGTATGAGTTACTATGAGGACACAGCCTCAGTATATGTATCCACTATATTGTCTATGTATGAGTTGATTTGGAGACTCTGCCTCAGTATATGTACCCACTATATGCTCTATGTATGAGTTACTATGAGGACACAGCCTCAGTATATATATCCACTATATGCTCTATGTATGAGTTGATCTGGAGACTCTGCCTCAGTGTGTGTTCTTTATATGCTCTGAGTCGCTGTGAAAACACAGCCTCAGTATATGCCCTCTACATGCTCTATAGGTAAAATGGTGTGGAGACATTGCTTCAGTGTATCTGTTCTCTATATGATTGATGTATTAGTGGAAGCACAATATATGTGAATGATATAAGTACATCCGCTATATGAGTCCAATTTAATACTGGTTCTATGTGTGGGTTGTGAGTCACAACCTTGGTATTTGTGAGTGGTATATTATGTGCATGAAGTTCTGTTAAAACACAGCCTCATTTTATCTCACTCATATAATCTTAATATGTGTACAGGCATAGTGTCACTGTTTAAAGCAGAGGTAGGCTATTTATGATTACTGTTTGAACAGACTCAGTATATGTAACTGATATATCTGTGCATAAGGTGCTGTCAGAAACATCCACAATGTACGTGATTCATATAATCTGTATGCAGGTTGGTAGTATTATATAACCCTAATTTATACACGGCATTGGTAGATTTAATATATACAAATGATCTAAAGTCTGTTTTGTAACAATGCCCAATTCTAGCAAATACAAATGCACTGTTGTACTGGGTAAGTAATTATTGCCTACTGTGGATTTTCTATTTCAGTTTTTTAAATGAAGTAGATAAGGAAACATACTGCTTTGTATTAGATTCCCTCTCCCACAGGTGTTTCAGGATAAGCAATTAACACATTTTACCACTTCAGATAGATTGCAGATGTTACCGAACCTGTCTGAGTGCCTCAGACAGGAGAGAAGGAGACCTGTTTTTCCAAAATGAAGCATGGTAATGTTTAACATAATCGTTTGGTTTTTTTGTGTGTGCACTCCTATGTATTTATACATGAGACCCATCTACAAAAGTTTTTCTATTGCCAGGCATCCTCTCCCCTCTGCTCGAGATAAGGAATGTTTTTTCAATTGGTGGCAGTGTTTTACCTTTAGATATATGCTGATTATTATTAGATTATTAGATCATACTGGTTGCAGGAGCACAAATTTGGCTATTAATTGATCTCATAAGTAGGTAACGCTGAAGCCATTACCTGATTTAAAAGCTGTTAATATTGTTTTTTCTTTCACCTGGTCATAACCTTTTATTCTTTAAACCTGAATTCATTTCCTTAAAGCATAAAATTTATATTCAGTATTCTCTTTTATCCCTTGTATACCTGAAAGTTTGGCAATACCTTTAGTATATGTCAGGGGTGGCATGCTTTTGGTTCTTAAGGAGTTAATGATCAGAAACTTCTGACAGATTCCCCTGTTGTGAAGGGGAACATTATAATTTCCTTTCTGCAATAAAGGTATTCTTTTAGTCTCATATGCTCCAGGTAACTTTGATGCTGTGTATTGCAAGTATTTTAAGGTCTTTCCAGTCCCCAGACCATTCTACCAGGTTTACTATTTCAGGTAAAATTCACCTGCTGCCTGAACAATTGAGGAAATCCCTAAACAGGTAGTTCCATTACGGACCTCTCTTCTGATATTCATGGGGGTTCTTCTAGGTGTCCTTATATCTGGAATTTGCAACCAATGTGTGGCTTTAAATGGTTGATTCATCCTGCATAATGTAATGCAGCTTGTTGATGACAAACATTTGACTGATATGTTTTACATGGTCTCTGTACCTAGATCTGTATAAGTTATGGTCACTCCTAACATTGCATTGATTTAATACTTGTGGATTATATCTTTGGATTGGTGTTGATATCTTGCAGATATAACAAGTTGCTTATTATCACCATAGGCTCTGCCATAAGTACTTCACTATCTGAAGATAAGGTAAGAGTAAGTATGCGGTTGTTGTTCTCATAAGGATAACTGAATATCTTCTACTATGCTGCTTATTATGTGTCTGTTGCCACAATGTATAATGTGCCTCTGGTTACCACCTTCCCATCAGTATCTTGCCTATTATATATCTCTTGCTTATGTTGCACAACGGTCTCTAATAAATTTGATTATACTGTTTGGCATAATCTGTACTATTTACAATATATTTATCTTTGAATGTAGGTACTAACGTGGTTGGCCTCCTTATAATTTAGTAGTTGCCACAAATTCTATGGTTCATAACGATTTATTTCTTTTTTTCCCCTCAACTAATCTGTATATGATTCTTCTTGCCTTTGCCTAGTAATGTTATTAGTTTATTCCTCTCCTGTGACTGATCATTGCTGTATCAATTCATCCACTGTGTGAGGTATTGTTGTGAATCTGAATTTTGCATCATCGGGTCAATGTTACAGTGTTTTAATAACAGACTCTTATTTCTCTACTAGGCTCTGCCTCTTTCTGACAGGCAGATATTGATTTGTTCCTGTATCTTCAGGTAAGTAGTTCACAAGGCAAGAGGAAGCGGTGTGAATCGTATTTAATAAATACATCCAGTAAGTAGTAGGATTCTCAGTGTAATTCTCCCCGCGTTTAATAGCATGGTGTGTCCGTTCTCATCCAACATTATCTGCTTGTTCCAGTATGATCTCTGGAAGTTATGCCTTTGTCAAGGTTCTGATTTGTTGATTATCAATTTGGTTTTTACATTTTTATATCAGAATGACATTTCCTTCTCTGGCTTATGCTATCATGGCCTTAATTCCTATCTGACTCTCTATATTTATTCAGGATATTTCAGATATTGAATGCCAGGAGGTTGCTGACCTTGCAGCCTCTAAGGAAAATTATCTTGTCTGAGCAGATGTTATGACAATTTCCTATCAATTCTTGTTTGGCTTTGTAAAGTCTTCTAAGATTTATACAGCTCAATAATGGTTTTATAACTATTAGCTGTTTTTGAACTCTGTCCCTCCCTCTATATATAATGCTTGGGTATTCCCCATGAGTAAATGCTGCCATGAATAATGGTCAGGAAAATGGAAAATTGTTTCATGCTTACCGTAATTTTCTTTTCCTGATAATTATTCATGGCAGCATTACGTTCCCACCCATATACTATAGAAGTTGTGAAGCTAATTACAAAGACTGCCTGATGGGAAGGGGTAGGATCTATTTATACCAGTTTCAAAGTTCTATTTCCTGTCCTTTCTGCTGTAAGGGGAGGAGCTAACCCATGAGTAAATGTTGCCATGAATAATTTTATGGCAAGACAGGAGGCTTCATATTTGCTTTAACCTTCTTTACTTAACCTACCAACAGCAAAGAAATAGTTAAACATATAGAGAAAAAATAAACCAATCAGGACACATATTAGAACATAACAGTCTGTCAGGCTCCTCCCAAATCCTCTTTCTTTGCTGCTTGCTTCCCAGGTGAGTCTATTCCAATTATAGCTCTCTAATATATATATTATTGACCTA